CCAGACAAGGGGGCTGTTGGTGGGGCTGTGGGGAGTGCGTGTTGTGGGGGGGCGCTGAGTTGAGTGTGCCCCGTTCTTTCCAGATTTGCGGCTCAGAGCAGTCATCCTTCCTTCTCCTCAGAGAGACCAGAAGGGTTCTGGATTTCCTTCTCCTGGCACTGGGGGGTGGGGGGGCTCGAGGGAGGGACCATGTCTCCTGTAATAAGCAGCGTCTAGTCACCGTACAGAACCGCATAAGCCCAAGCTCCATGGCCAGGTCGGGGGTGCTCTGCCGGCTGGAGTCCTCTGGAGTGACAGACTGCTCCCCACCCCTGTGCCCCAGCACTGCTCGGGAGACCCCCCAACCAACCAACAAAAAGATGAGTCTAAAGAAGAAAATGCACCTTGGTCATAGGCGCGTACCCCAACTGTTAGCTGAGCTTTTTCTTGGGGATAAGGCTCGCGCTCTGCCATGGAGCCTTCCCCACGCCACTGCCGGCCTCCGTGACACCTCTTTCCAGACCACGTGTACTTGGGGTAGGTGTAGATGGAACCGCTGGGGCTGAAGAGATAATGTAGGGGTTAAGATGCTTGCCTTTGGGGGGCTGGAGCAATAGCACTGCGGGTAAGGCATTTGCCTTGCACGCGGCCGATCAGGCGGTTCGATTCCCAGCATCCCATATGGTCCCCTGAGTACCACAAGGAATAATTCCTGAGTGTAGAGCCAGGAGTAACCCCTGTTACTCCAGGTGTGACCCCCCCCCCCAAAAAAAAAGCAAAAAAAAAAAAGATGCTTGCCTTTGGGGGTGTGGGGGAAGGTGCTTGTCTTGCAGGTAGCTGACCTGGGTCCATCCCCTGAGCACCCCCAAAAGTGATCCCAGAGTCCACCCAGCAGCAAGCTCTGAGTGCTGCTGGACGTGCCGCCCAAACCCAACAAACAAACAAACAAAAAAGGGACCCTCTTCAGAGCTAACCAGTACCATATTCAGTTACAAGGTGGTGGCTTTAGTTTTCTTATTGCAGTGTTGCTGTCATAAAATACTAGAAGTTGAGCAGCTTAAAACAACACGGGTTTGTTAGTGGTTCTCCGTCCAGGGTCTCAAAGACGCAAATCACGGAGCAGCCGCCTGGCCCTTCTCTGGAGCCCGCGGAAGTGGGCCTGCGCTCATTCATCCCATTCCTTGTGGTTCGATGCCTGGGGTCCCCATTTGTTTGCTGGCCGTGGGTTACACCTGGCTCTTGGTGCCTGGCCTCTTGTCCGTGCCCGGTCTTCAGGGCCCGCTGTGGTGTGGGATCCTTCCTATTCTCCGAGTAGCTCCTAAGCTTCCCCATACCTTTGTACGTTCCTACCTTTATACAGGGTTGGCTGCAGAGGCAGGCCTGCTCTTAGAATCATATCTGTACCTTCAAGTCAGTTCATCTGGGCAAGAGAGGAGCTCAGTGGGCCCAGTGCATCTTTGCATGCAGAAGGCCACGTTCGACACTGGGCTCCACGGTCCCCTGGCCACTGCCAGGAGCAGCCCCCTGGCGCTGAGTCAGGAGCAGTCTCGGAGCACTGTGGGGTGTGGCCTCAGACAAAGTCCCTTCAGTTGTGTCTTGAATTAAACAAGCAGTTCCTGAAGGACAGAGGAACCTAGTTTAGCCCCGGAGCTGAAGCCTCAGGAAATCAGTGTCCTCGAGAGTGCTGTCTCCCACGGTCGTTGTGAAGAGGGACCCTCGGAGGAGGAAGGGAGATCAAGGCAGCCTCGAGTGATGGAGTGCTTGGTTCTGCCGCACCGGGTGCTGTGGGGCAGCGTTTCCAGCGGCTCCGTTAGTGGAAGGGTCTCAGTGCAGTGTTGTTTTTTCACAAGCTGTGGAAGCCAGTGTCTCACAGGAGGGTTGAGATTCTCATCCAGACTTTCTTTCATCAGGATACTTAAAAATTATTATTGTTATCATTATTTTAGCACGGGGTGGTTCAAAAGCCCAAACGTTTCTTTCTTACAGCCCGGTAGCCGTGAGGGTGCGTGAGGTGCAGGCAGGTGCAGTGCGGGGGAGGGAGGGCGTCCCGGGAACAGCCACCGGCCAGCCTGCCCCCCACCCCCGGCCCTCACTGGAACCTGGGGGCTTGCTCTTCGCTCTGCACTCAGGGATCACTCCTGGCAGGCTTGGGGTGCTGGCGATCGCCCCCTGGCCTGCTGCATGTAAGGCAAGCGCCTTCCCCATGTGCATGCCTTGCCCCCAACAGTGCTCACCCCTCCATCTTCTGCCTACCTCTCCCACCAGAATTAACGTGTTTGCATTAATTCCACTGAGCCCTGAGCCCTGCACTCCTTCAGGGCTAGTGGTGTCACACTTGGCGGCTTTCAGTGCCGCCTGCCCGCAAACATCATCACTCGGGTCACGCGCCAGAGCTCACACACATCAGGCTGTTTGGGTGCCCGGGTCCCAGCCCGCAGCCCCGCTGCCTCTCACCCAACCTCACGGCCCCTCCCCAGACTGAGTCAGTGTAGACTTGGGACCTGCGGGGATTTCTCCGCTTTCCCGAGTCTCGACTGTAGTAGCCTTTCTGGGGACGACTGTGTTCAGTTTTACCCTTAAACTATCCTTAGGCTTGTACACAGCTACTTTGTCACGGGCATTGGTAGCTTTTTTTTTTCCTTCTGGGGAGGGGGTGTTCTAATTCATCTCCTGTCACTTACCTGGCCTTTCACACCCAGGTTGTGGCCTCAGGTTTTTTGACTCTTGGCTGCAGGCAGATTGTGTGCTGCCGTGGATTCCAAGGCAGAGCAGGGAGAGCTTATTCTTATTGCAGTTTATCTTATCTGAAAGTTTATTCTCGTCTCTATCTTGTAGCCAAAGGAATCATTTGACAGTGTACTTAGAAATTAAGACCTTGTTTGCTGTGATCTTTCTCTGCACTCCACCTATTCCCCTGAGGTACTCACAGCAGCCAGTGAGTATCACAACAGTGGAGATTCCTTTCCCCACAGGTCGCTCGCGTGCTCTCCATGCCAGGGGCCTGACATCAGTGCCCAGAGGCACCTCCTTGACCACCTCTGAGGGTGACCCCCAGGGACTTTGTCTGAGGCCACACCCCACAGTGCTCCGAGACTGCTCCTGACGCAGCGCCAGGGGGCTGCTCCTGGCAGTGGTCAGGGGACCGTGGAGCCCAGTGTCAAAAGTGGCCTTCTGCATGCTGAGGGGTCGCCACTGAGCGCTGCCAGCAGGAATCCTGTCCTGTTCCACAGTCGTCTCCCCCTTCCTGTGTTGCTGTGCCCCGCACGGGCATGCGCTGCCCGCGGGCTCGTGTGGTCACTCAGTGGCACAGTCCCCGGAGAACTCGCCCCTGGCGTTGAGCCCTGTGCCCTCAGCTGTGCCCGGTCCCTCTGGGCGTGTGGGCGGGCGCCCTGCAGTGTGCCCCTCCCACTCCCCTGCCCCCTTCCTGCTGTCCAGGCACTGTTCCGAGCCTCGGTCCTCGTCTCCCTGTCCTTGTCAGAGGTGGCTTCCGATCTCCCCCATGCCAGGGACGGGAGCCAGGCCTGTCAGGTGCCCCCACTCCTCGGCTTTGTTGTTCGGGGCCTGCGGCTGAGGTGCTGGGCATCAGGCTCCCGCCTCCCCCTCACGAAGCACGTGCTCCGCTCACTGAGCTCTCTGCACGGCCCTCGCAGTCTTCTGTTTGGTTTCTAAAAATCTTTTTTGCATCGTATTTGGTGGTGCCCAGGGGCTGCTCTTTGTTCTGTGCCCAGTGGGGGAACAAGGGTGGTATGGGGATCAAACTGGGGTCTGCCACATGGAAGGCAAGTGCCTCGGCCCCCCAGACTGTCTCTCTCCAGCCTGATCGGCTCATTTGGTTGGTTTGTTTTGGGGTTTGGGTCACACCCCGCTGTGTTGAGGACTTCTGGATCTGTGCTCAGGGGTCACTGTGGGCGTGGATCAGGGGGGCCGTCAGGGGTGCCAGGGTAGCTGTGTGCAGACAGCTCCCTGCTGTGGGACTCTTTCCTAGCTCCGTGATACGGCGTATTTTTAAATCTCAGCTTACCGTAGCTGGTCCATCTTACTACTTCATTCTGCTTACTATGTTATTTATATTCCAAAATATATTTTTAAAATTACTTTATTTGTTGACATTGCAGCTTTTAAAGATTTTATGTAAGTAGGCGTCGCCATCTCTGAATACCATTTTAGGATACTAAGGAGGCATTATAAAATAATACATGTGATTAAACAGAGGTTGGGGTCTAACAGGGCTTGGTTCTTTCCACAGGTGGAGAGTGAGTCCTTCAGGCGCACTCATCCCTCTGCTCCCCTTGGTGTCGTTGTATTTAATAAAGTTGTGCTAGGGACTTTCTCTGGGCTCTGCACTCAGGGTCCTGGCGGGGCTTAAGTGGTGCCAAAGACCAACCCATGGTCTGCCTGACGCGTGGCAGAAGCTGTAGTCTCTGTCCAGCCCCTTTCGTCAAAACTCTTATGCCCTCACTTTCTTTTTCCTTTTAATTGTTTGTCTTGGGGCCACACCTGGCGATGCTCAGGGATTCCTCCCAGCTCTGCACTCAGGAATCACTCACGGTGGTGCTCACGGGACCATACGGGATGCTGAGGATTGAACTTAGGTTGGCTGTGTGCAAGGCAAACACCTTCCCCACTTGTACCATTGCTCTAGCACCCAATACCTCACTTTCATTCCATCTGTTACAGCCTCATAAAGTCCAGAAGCCCCAGGCAAAATATACTTACTGCTCTTACAGGGTTTTTATATTATAAAAGAAGTCTATGATATTGACTCGACTAATGGTTGAAATGTACTTATTAGGAAATCATCCACAGATACAAACTAAAAATGAACAGACAACAGGAAAAAAAGGCAAGAATTTTCATTTTATTAAACAGTCTAGCCAGGTTTTAAAATGGAATGTTTGGTTTTTAAATTCACACTGCTGGCAGGCACAGCCCTGTTCTTGCTGAAAGCTTGTTTATATGAGATAAAATTATAATGCTACTGATCCTGACTAATTCTCTTTCCCCCCTTTTTTCCCCTCCAGATCTTACATTGTGCAATAGGTAAGTGTGGAATTCACCCCCACCCCTCCAATGATGTGCACTGGGAAACCATCAGCTAATCATTAGATATAAAATTACACAGATTGGTCTGGCTTTGCTTCTAAAATTATAGGTCCTACTTTGATGTCATTGCTGAGCACCTATTAAGTGCCAACACTATATTGCTCTGCCAGTGGAAAGAGGGCTCTCCCACTTACTGTCCCAAGGAGAGCAGGAGCACCAGAACCTCCCAGAAATGTGACCTGCTGTTCTGGTACCCGCATGGAGAGCCCTCTCGGTGTATGATCTGTGACTGGCACCTTCTCTCCCCCGCCCTTGAACATGGGAAACTGTCTGTGCTGCCTGCTTCCCCAGGGCATAGTTCCTGGCTACGAGGCGGTTCGGGAAAGTGTGGGTGTGATGAGTGGGGCAGCGGTCAGGCATTCCCGCAAAGAGCAGAGACCGTGTGTCCTGTGGGGTTGGGAGTGGCCAAACCGTCAGACCTTGAGCCCAGGCCTAGTCTGCAATGCCTCCAGCCCTGAAGGTCCCTGGAATTCCATGCTGGGAAGTCAACAGATTCCCTCCAGGATAAACTGGCAGAGGCAGCTGGCCTGGGGACTGGACTTGTCTTTCGGGGGGAGGGTTTGCAGTTGATAAAGGGGGTGTCAATTGGACCGGGGGGGGGTCTGGAATCGGCAAACTGCATGGAACCACGACGGCCAGTCAGGTCAACTCACGGATCCAGCGGGCACTTACGGGGGTGTGGGCTGGGCATCGGGAGTTCCGAGGGGAGACTTAGGGCTCAGGGACACTGCAGGCCCCGTGGTGGGTCTGTGGCGTCTCTGGGTCACCTGCGCTGTTGCAGTAGCAAAGCCTTTTCCCACTGAGAAGGAGGCCTGAGGTCAGCGTGTTGAGAATCATATGCAGAATCTTATGAGGGTAGAATTCGTAGCTTTCGTTAGATTCTCAAGGGAGTTGGTGTGATCTAAAACACTCTTGCTTTTTTTTTTAACTTTTGTTTTTATTAAGATGCGATTTCGATGTTTGTAAAAGAATCGTTTCAGGCATATGATATTCCAGCACCAGTCCCACCCCGACCAGTGTCCCCCAGGTTCCCTCCCACCCGCCAGCGTGTCCCAGAGCAGGCATAGAGCAAATTTATTTCGTACTACTTGCTCCAGCAAAGCTTAAAGGAAATGGAATTATTGGAAAATGAGTCAACGTTGATTTGTGAGGATTGCTTGCTAAGAGATTTTAGCAATAAGACAGGAATTCATTCTTGAGAGTGTGTATAATCCCTCAGCGCACGCCCGTGCGGGAGGTTCCTCCTGGCCTTCAGCGGGCCCTTGAACACTCGCGCACAGCAGGAAGAAACACGCTCTCGAACACGCACCCACAGGGTTCCTGTCTGCCACACTGGCCGTGGCTCGGCGTCTGGTCCGGAAGGCGTGGACCCTGTGCCGGAAGCTTCCCTGCGGCCTCGGGGGCTTCTCGGGAGTCAGATGGCGCATCTCTTCCGCTCGGACCCTTCTTTCTGGCCTCGAGCCTCCTCGGAACTTGCACCCTGACTGCTTCCCGTCGTCCTGGCCTTTGCCGCGCCTGAGCAGCCTGGAACTTCTTGGGGCTCATGCCCTGCCACGCCCGCCTCTGGGTTGACCCAGGCTTGCCACGCCCACCGTGCCGGGCCTCTTGCGTCCCCTCAGCCCGCGGACCCCATGGCCGCCCACTCCCCTGTCAAACCCCGAACCTCCCCTTGTTGCTGACCCTTCCCGGTGGCCAGTGGTTCGTGCCTGTCCCTGTGTCCACAGCGGTGCCGCCGGGCTGTTTGCGGGTTCTCTGTGCTTGTCCAGAGTGGGGTGAGGTCCGAGCCTCAGGCCTCTGCGGTAGATGCAGAGCAGGAATTCTCTTCCCTCCCTCCCCTGGCTCTCCGCCACGTGGGGCTGAGGCTCCCACACTCCCCTGCCCTTTCTCAGCGGTCGCGCTGACGCACTGGGCCGCAGCACTCAGCAGGGCACCCTCGCTGCCCGCGCCCACGGGCGCCCACTGCTGGACACGGAGCTCTGGGGCGGAGCCGCTGGGAACCGCCTACCGCAGAGCGTGGCGGGTGCTCAGTGGCGGGCAGTGGTGCCCGGGCAGCCGTGGGGATCAATCTCGCAGCCTGGGGTAGAGACAGCCCCACGCCCCTCCCTGCGCTCTGTGCCCCGCCCCGGACAGTTTGGGGGCACTCAGTGGGTGTGAGATCTTTCTCTTGCAGTTCTGGTGACAAGTCCCCAAACTTGCTGCAGAATGTTTTCAGGTTCTTCCGGAGGCACCAGGGGGTGACGGGCAGGAAATGTCAGTCATAGAAGTCAAATGCCCTAAAAAAAGCCAGCGTGTCTGCCGAGCACCCGAACTGCAGACCGCAGCGCACACCAGGAAAAGGAGGGAGCGAGCAGGCAGGACAGTGCTTCCCATAGCGGGAGGCTGGGGTGGAGGGACCCTTTTCCTGAGAGATCCTTTGGGTATTGCGATTTACGGGCCGCCTCTGGGTGTGTGTTAGAGTTGCCTTTTGTTCAGGGTTATGACAGCAGTAGCTGAACTGACCCCCGAGAGCAGAGCCCTTGTTGGGTGTTGGAGGATGGTGGGCGGGAACGGGACATTGGTGGCGGGAAATGCACACTGGTGGAGGGACGGGTGCTGGTCATTGTGTGACTGATACCCAGCCATGAACAGCCTTGTAATGGTCTCTCTCACGATACTGAATTGAAAAAAATGTAAAAAAAAGAAGTGGAGTTCCTGTCCAATTCGATCAGCTTGATCAACGACTGAATAGATAACAGTCCTCATTCTTGCATTGTGCTTAAGTGAATCCTGCCTCCTCCTTCCCCCTGCCCCCACACACATGTGTGCAGGCACGCGTGTACACACACACACACACACACACACACACACACACACATACACACCCTGCCTGCCCAGCTCATTTACTTCACTTTTGAACTGGAGTGCTGGCTGATTTTCCTGCGGCTTTCTGAGTTTTTGCAGTCTGACCTGAATTTGTTTCAGACTGATTTATTGATCTCCCCGCCCCCTGCGCTGTTGTTGGGATACGTGGAGCTGGCGTGTTGGTGGGTGCCATGGGGTGCCACCCTTCACTCTCCTGTCTTGGTGCATCTGCAGGACTCACATTTCCTGCGCAGGGGTGGTGCCACCACGAGGGCCCAGAGAGCAAGGCTGCCAGGATCCTTGCCGTGGTGTGGCTCTGCCAGGGCTCGAACTCGCGGCCCTGTGCTCCGGGGAAGACGTTCTGAGCCTGAGCTCTCCTCCTAGCTGTTGGCACGTCTCTGACTGGGCTCTTGACTAGCCAGAGCTTCTAGGAAATGGTGTTCGTGCCACTTGGTGGCTTTGTCTGCGAGAGGGTGGGGTCAGTGAGGGTGGGTTTCCTCACTGGGCTGCCGTGGAGACGCAATGGCACCAGGCATGGAAACACCCAGCGCTGCGCCAGGAAGGCGGCCCGGGGAAGGCCGGCAGCAAGGTTGCGGCTGCTACCTCGCGGTGGTTTGGGTTTGGGTGCTCAGGGGTCACTCCTGCCTCTGTGCTCGGGGGGGCATATGTGGTACTGGGGTCGATTGGTGGTCAGGCAAGTGCTCCCGGTGGCTGTCACCTACCAGCAAGGGTCATCTCAGAGAGCACTGAAAGCTTCCTCCTGCCCGGCATCCTGTTCAGTGGTTAGAGGGCATTGGTGTAGCTCCTCCGCGTCCTTCCTTTTCTTGAGGGATGCTTTGGGTGTTACGTTTATCGGGCCGCCTCTGGGTGTGTGTTCGAGTTGCCTTTTGTTCAAGGTCGCGACAGCAGTAGCTAAGCTAGCCCCTGGGAGTGGAGCCCTCATGGCGGACCTAGCTGAGGGCCGCCGACCTCTGCTCGAGGCCGCGCTGCAGCTCAGCCCTCAGGTTGGTCCTGCTTTCCACGTGCAGGATAGTTTCCACTCTGCAAAGAGTTGTGTTCTTGGTTTTTGAATCTACTCTGGGACACATCCTTTATGTGACTACAAGAAGAGTTGTCGTTTTTTTATTCACCTGGTAGTTTATATTGAAAGGATCATTATTAGCGTTCCTGACTTGTGTTTAAGATGGTGGAGGAAGCCTGTGGGGGGCTTGGGGGACTTCCCAGCTGGTGGGGGGAAGGTGGGTCCTATCGTGGGTCAGAGATAGAGGCAGAGGCTGGGTCTGGAAGCCTTGGTAAGGTGATGTTTGTGTGTTGGCAGAATCTTACCTTGTTTTTGTTTCGCTTTGGTTTTTTGGCCCCGTCTGATGGTGCTCAAGGGTCACTCCAGGCAGGGCTGGGGGCTCAGGTGTGGTGCTGGGGTCGCACCCAGGGCAGCTGCGTGCAGGGCAAGCGTCTTACCCGCTGCACTATTGCTCCAGCCCCAGCATTGGCAGAATCTTAATATCCTGCTAGTGTAGGGAGCTTTCCGTTAGTGCTCTTTCCGTCGCTCCTGGGAGCAGGAGGCTGAGTGGGGCTGGTCTTGGTGCAGAGGGGCATGCCTGCAGAGGTCGGGTGATGCCCGCTGCCTGGAGAGCCTGGACTGTGCTCGCTCATGTGCGTGTGCCCAGCCCTCACTCCAGCTGGTGCCGCTGGTTTAGGAAACACCCGGTCATCCCTGTCCTGGGCAGCGTGTGTTTCAGGCTGGTTTCATCATTTAATACATTGAACTGGGGGACCTGGTTCGGGAGACCAAGGATCAGAGGGTTCCCCCTCCTCCCAAATGGTTCTCCCTCATGACACAGGACTGAGGCATTCCCTCCTGCAGACAGCAGCACCCCTCTTTTTTTAAAAATTTTTATTAGTGAAACTCCATGAGGTACAGTTGTAGACTTACAAATTTCGTGCTTGGGTTTCGATTATACAATGATCAAATACCCATCCCTCCACCAGTGCCCATTTCCCACCACCACGGATCCCAGTGTCCCTCCCACACCCATCCCCCCATCCCCCCCCCTTTTGTTCTCTCTCTCCTTTTGGGTGTTGTGGTCTGCAAAAGA